TTCATGGACTTTTAGCTTGTTTCTCTTCAGTTGTTTCCTTTGTTCTATAGTTTCCCTCCAGTCATTTGTTGTCATGGAAATTCATTTAAAGTCCCCATGAAATCAAAATTGACCATACTTACTTTGTTTGCCTAAATTGATCGTTTTGTGGTGAACAATTCATCCATGCAAGTCAATCCACACAAAAAATTTTTTTGGCTTCGTAATCTTTAATCAAATTTTGAAAATGCCCCTCCCCTCTGCATTGGAGGACCTTGCCCCATGACGTAGGCTTTACGGTTTGGGTGTCTGCTTAACATCCATAACCACGCCCCTCCAACTGACAGTAGACAGGCTGAATGAAAACACCTACTTTTCTAGATCCAATCAGGTGCTAGTTGGAAAAAAGCCACGCCCACTATTTTGCCTCATTTAGTATTCCGTTTCTCTCGGAAATTGCAACTTCCGGTTCACGGGGACTTTAACGAGCACAGCTGTTAGTTATCAGTTCATTATCATTGTGTATTTAAGTTCCTCTTTCTCCTTCAGTTCTCGGTCAGGTATTGACATCTTATGTCCGTGTCTACATGCTGCTACGTTGCCATTTTTGCCTGTGGATTTATTTAAGTTTGTTTTATATAATAAATACCTTAATTATGGAAATTTTTTCCATCTTTATCAAATTCTTCAGACCTAAAACGTTACAGAATGACCTTTAAAACGGCTATTTTACTGATATTGGTGTACTAGTTAACAAAAAGATTTGTTTTTGAAAAAAAAAACGTAATCCTATGGGGCCAACAATGTACGCCACATTAAATTATGTACTGTAAATTTGTATAAACACTTACTCAACAAATTAAACAAATAGTTTATCTCGTAAAATTATTTTACGTAAAACTAAACATCATAAATAAGATGTGGAAATGATTCTACTCAACACACTTACACACAAGCTCGAATTTTTAAATTTTCCAGTTTTTCACCATCATAAACACTAGATGTCACTGTTGTACACAAAATAAATTTCCCGACTGTGGCAAATTTTGTGTAATAAAAAGTTTTATTTACACAAATATAGATTTCTTGAAGTTTCTCCATGTTTTAGGCATTTAAAAATAGTTATAGAAATTTGATTTCAATCCTTAAAACTCTCTAAATTACTGGGAACTTGCATGAATAAACCCCCCTGAAGTTTATTATTGCGTTACACTTACATATTTTGTTCTTATTTTAATTTTAATTTATTTATTGTATTATTTTTCTTTTGTTTTTTCCAATATGCTGCTTGCTCTTCTTGTTGATGTGTTTAACAATTATATGATAATGCCTGTTTTTTATTTGAAATATTTAATAAAGTAAAATGCTATCCAAAAGTATAGGCTATTCTATGTTATTTTATTTAGTTTTCTCTAATTCAGTTTTTATTAATTATTTGTTCATCATTCTGATAGATGACATTGCACAAATAAGAACTATTCTTAGCAAAAAAAAAAGAATCTCTCACTCGTGGGATTTTTAATAGAGAGACAGCACAACAGAGGAGTAAACAGAAAAACTTTATAATAACATCAAGTGAATTCCTGTTAATTTACCTTATACTAAGTTACTTCTGAATTCTTTTTTTTTTTTTTTTTTTTTTACCACTGTAGCTCCTGACTAATGCAAAATGTAATAATGTTTAATAAAACTATTACATATATTGTATAATGCCTGATGAAAGCTGAGAACTGTTTGTTTGATAGCTTTGGTTGGCTCAAGATGCACTGCAAACAGCTTGAATTGATGTTGTGCTTCCCTTTCAGCAACATATCTGCTAAGACATTTGAATGAGTTGTGTTCAACTCAAGTCTACCTTTCATAATGAACAACCTCCTGGACATTAACCAGTCTGGTTTCAGAAGCGCACATGATTGCAAAGGAATTGGTGGATTCTCTATTGCAATATTCTGTGATAATGGAACAATAGTGCTGCATACCAACACTTCACAACTGTGCAGAGTAGAGCCATTGACATTCATTGTGTCTGAGTTCAGTATAGAAGTGCAAATTGCCGTGAGAATCACTGTTAATAGCTCTACAATTATAAGAAGACTAGTGAGGTTTTCACAGATAAGACCTCAAAGAATGGGCTTTAGCAGCCGTTGCCGTGTCAGATACGCCCAGTAAAAGGAGAACTGAAACTGATTCTAAGGGGGAAAAGATTATATACCGAAAAAGAGCTCTTTAAAATGAAGTTGTATGCTTCATATTACAGTTACTTATTGTGCTGCTTAAATCAGCAATGAATACACTCAAAAATATTTTGACCTAAATTTAAGACTTATGCATTTGAAATGCGTATGAAATGTCCATCCATTTGGATTACACAATTTTAACATAAACAATATAATATATGTAAATAATGTGATGCATATTTGTCAATCATGTTATATGCAATTCAAATATCTAAATCTTACATTGTGGCCCTTTTTGAACGTAGAAAGGATCAATAGAGAATGGGAACTATTTTTATAAGATTATAAGAATTAGATTATATACATTTTCAAAATGTAATTTCATTTTTATGGCATTAAAACAATGCACGTTAACACAATGCAGTAAAACTATTTGAAGTAGAGAAGACTGAACTGAAAAAAAACTAAACCAATGACCATCCTCCCCATCTAAAACCAACCATCAAGCATTGCAGTGACTGTAAAAGTGTGTGCTTTCCTTCAGCACTATTGCCAAGAACAGCCAGCTATTAGGAAAAAGAAAGAGTGTGTGAGCGAGAGCCTCCATAGCAACCGTTTCCCCTGCTGGCCAAGTTGCCTTGTGACGCTGAGTCAGACTGGGTTAGTGTTGTCTGCGCTCACTTTCGTGGGACGAGTGACAGGCCAGGCTTGTGCTTTCCCATTTGCCATGCTGTTCTAACAGATGTTGTGGTATAGGACAACGTAGTCAAATAACTACCTGTAACCTGACAAATATTCAAATGTATTCTTTTAAAAGTAAGCCTCTTAAAGTGATATTTTGTTAACTAATAATTAAATTAGGCTACATTTAGGATTTAGGTCGAATACATTTTAACATGTTTGATATATAAATGTTGAACATCTACTGAATAAAGGAATAATTATCAGCATCTTACAAAGCATTTCCTGGTAAAAAAAAACATGGGATGTGGCTGTGTAAGCAGGATAATGTAGTCAACAAACCAGCAGTGTGATCACAGTCCAGCATGCATTAGCTGTTGCTTATTAGATTTAAAGTTTGTTTTTTCAATGTTCGCCTTAGTTGGAACCTTAAAAGGATGCACTGAATGTTTCCAAACTTATTTCAGTTTCAATTTAGCTATTTTGAAATCAGTCAAAATATTTAGTCACAGAAACAAGTTTCCCATTTTAGCTCACAGACACTGTGATGTTTCGAGGGGGAGGGGAGTCAGATGAAACTGCACATGCGCAGAGAGGATTACATTCAAGGGAGATGAAAGCTATTGATTACGTGGATTTCTCGTGCTCCTAATAAACTTTTTTTTTTCTGTTCGTTTACTTAACCGAATTCTAGTATTCAGCGCATTTGTAAGGAATCTAAAGGAATCGGATTACATTTTCCAAGAAGATAATCTCGGTGAAAAATAATCAGGTTTAATTTTTGCGATGGCGCGGTGGTTTTTGAGACACGTGATCTGCTCCATCCAATCATGGCGCAGCAACGATAGCCATATCTTCTTTGTTCTGGATTTATCAACGTTGCTGACTAATTACTCGTTTACATTGTATGGATTTTTTTAATATCGTGTATTTAATCGCTAGGGAATGCTCTCTGTATGCAATGTATTTAAAAGGAAGACGTGTTTTATGGAGTTCCTGTTCAAAACCTGTTTAAGCCACGCGAGTAGTTGTGTGGGTGATCACATGACTCTCCCTGCCCCCACTTCGATCCAATGAATGGGGAAGAAGAAGTCGGACATGTTTGAGGGAAATGTGTTGAATAAAGAAACGTGGCTGAAGACAAGAAGAAAATCAGGATTTTTCCAACAATGAGGATTTCGACATTTTTTCCTTTTTGTTTTAGGTTCACTTAATCTGGATAGAGGTATATGTTAAGATATTTGGATTTATTTCCAAATTTAGTTGTTGTAAAACATTAATAATTTAAATTAAGCGTTTTAATGTAAATAATTTATAGATAACTAATAATTTGGCCTGTTTTAGTGTTGTACTTTTGTTTCCCACATTGTATGACATTGTTTCAAATCTGTAACCTTGGCAGTGGGGGATGGGCGGCAGTACATTTTTCTAAAAATATGTTGTTCTAAACTCTTTTTAATTTGAAGATCATTTTAAAATACTGGTTCTTTTGCCAGAACATTTACTTTTAGGCGTCTAACAATTGTTAATGGCTTCTGGAAAGAGAATATTTAAATAAGTGTAGTTTAAGTGTCCTCTAAATTGTAATTCGGCTGATTTAGAAACCTCGACAATATTATTAAATGATGATTGGCTTTTATCAAAACATCTAGAAAATATGGGGCGAATCAAACGTATTTTAAGTTTTATTGATGATTTTGGCTGTGGTAGTAGGTAGAGCTCGACGTCGGCCTAAACGCAATAGCTATTTTTTTTCCAGGATTGTGTTTAAATTCTCGACGTTATTCTAACATTAGGTAATTTCTGTCTAATTTGGTGTGTTTTTTTGTATATATTTTGGTCCTTTAATAGTGTGTTAACCACTGCGGGTCGTCGTTCGAAGGACTAAAGTTGCTGCGTCATTTATGGAGGACACTCCTTGTAGGCCATGTTGAATCGACAGAGAAGGACATCGCCTTGTCAGCTTTAGTATGGGTTTGAGATCGATGTATGGTATTTTTTTCCATTGCGTCAATGGGACGATTAAAACATTATTGTATAATATTGTTTTTGGCGTTCAATTCTCTGGTTGTTTTTTCCCTCTCCGTTTTTTTTTTCGGGACGAAGCACTATCACGTGGTTGCGTTTAGACGTTTAAGTTTTTATGTAACTTAGTATTTTTGTTGATTTTTTTTCCCCAGGCAGTCTATGTGCAACAGTGCAAGGCGAGGTGATCTGTACCGTACGTGTATGTGCCGCATTTGTCTGTTACGCGTGACTAATCTGGTGAACCAATGGCGTATTTCCAACCTGCCCTGGGTAAACGCGCCTTAGTTTTGGAGGACCTATCAGCGAAGTCTGTTGACGTAACACTCAACTCTTGAGAAACGCAGTATTTCTGGAAATGGTAGCGCAACCTTAGGTGTTGTAAACTATTCGCTTAAATGTTTCACTGTATGTTGGTTATAGTAGCGGTGTTGCCTAGAAAAGTGTTTTATTTGCGAAATATGATTTAAATCCACAAATCGTGCTCCGGGGGATGCGCGGGCGTGGCCTATTTGACAGACAGGTTGAGTGGCCTATAGAATACGCGTAGGCGTATACGAATGGCGTTACATCAGCCAATGGAGCCGTCGATGGGTTTATAAAAAGTCGGGCGGAGCCTCAGCCTCGCCATTTCATTGTAGCTCTGCGCTGGAGGATAGAGGAAGTCAGAAAAACAAGGCCGCGAAACTCGGATATTCGAACGAAACCGGTTCTTAAACCGAATCCGGATCCATCCCGATGGAGACGGCCTTTAGCCCGCCCTTTGACAGGTACCGGTTGGAGTAAATGACATTGCACTTGTTCTGTGAACGAAAATGTTGTTTGGATTATTGTCATAATTCGGCATCTTTCGGAATTATTTTATTTTAATCACTTGCGTCCTGTCACTATAACTATATACCGGAGTAATACGACTCCATTGACTTGCACTTTCTAAAGGCAGTGGTGTTGCAGAGACTTTAATTTTTTTTCAACGTCAGTTCGCCACTGGTCTTAAAGTTTTAAAGTCTGTTTTTTTTTAACGGACAGCTGCTCGCGTTTAGTGCGCATGCGCGTTTTCGTTCAATGAGACGGGCAGTTTGTTTATTGACAAATTTGTCGGTGTTCAGACTGCCAAAATTGAGTAATGCAACCGCATTTTCATATGTGAGATTGTTTGAATTGTATAACTTATGTCGTTAACGTATGTCGAAAACATGAAGTCCTAATGCGAACGTGAAATTAGCATGGTAAGCTAATGCTAACAGCGACCGGTATATTTTTATTGGTCATAGAGGTTGCGGACACGCTACAAAAAAATATTATACCGGTAAATGTGTTTTGGGTTATTACGTCTCGGGAGTGTGTTGAATATCCACTGCTTTTATTATGATGCATCGGTCATTTCTTCCGCGAGTGCGTTAACGTTACAGTGAACATGTGGCTGTGAATCGGTAGATTAACGTTACATGAAATGCTGTCTGGCTTAATGGAAATGCTTGTTATGATCGATATGGTATTTCAATGGGATATATTTCTGTTATTCTATGTATTGATGTAACGTTAGGTCATATTAGGCGGTGCCTTGACTAGAACAAATAATTTATTTATCAGGTCTTTTGTGAGTTGTTTTGCCGCATCTTATATTAGTTTGAATGTTTTGTGGATTTACTTTGAGGATCGCATGTTAACAAATTTTCGTTTTTTTTCCTTCACGTTTTAGTCATTCTGAAACTCAACTTAAAAGTTGAGCTTCCGCCTCACACCACGTGGACTTTTGTCAACATTTTACACGCGTGAAGGCTGCAGTTCTGCTCAAACCTATTTGATCACCTCACGCCTTCTTTTGGTGTCGGGTGTCATTGATTTGTGAAATCTAATGGCACAGCACTGAATTTATGGAGTTGTTTCGCTTTTTGTTGCTTAGCAACGCGCGTGGTTAAACGAGCCCCATGAATCCCGCCATCTGCCCCTCCCAACCAGCATGCTGTATAAGGGCCAGAATAATTAGACATTTGTTTTTGTTTTTCCAAACATTGTTTGTAAGCCAACATTTTACTTGACTGAAAATAAAACGCTTTCAATGTCAACTGTTTGTGATTTTTGTATCATTTAGCAGTGTTTATATTGTACATTAAAACATTAAATTATTAAATTTAAAGTTGTTTAAGGTTTTATCAGAATGACTAAATATGTATAAAGTTGTAAATGTATCTAGCTATTTTGTGGTAGTTTTATTCAAAGGTTATTTAGAAGCAGCATGTCTGCATTCTGTTTTATTCAGTTTGTTAAATTTCACTTAAGAGTCCATACTGGGGCAAGAATGCAAACCTTCACTTACAGATCCTGGCTGGAAGGCATGAGAACTACATTCTGCAGAAACAGTTGAACACCCACCTTAACTGTTTTGTTTTTTAGTTTAATATTATAATCACATTACAGCTGCAACGTTTTTACAAATATTGCCTCATCGTGTGTTGTCTGAGCAGTCCCAAATAAATGAATCCAAAGAGCATTTAATATGGCACTTGTGATAAAGGATTGGGTGCTGTCAACTTGCCTATTTTAAGGTGTTGAACAGGCCTGAGAAGGTAAGTCTCATGGAGGAAGTGAAATTCTTTATACTGTCAGGTTATAAAAAGCACATTTATAAAAAATTAGTGAGGGTAGTGCAGTTTTACATGAACAAATTGTGGACTTATCAATGGCATTTAAATGCCCACTAGGAATACATTCCTGTATACATGAGCTCATGATAATTCGTATTCGTTTCTGTTTTTTAAACTGGCTTGACCTCCACAATCGTAATGACAGCATTCATGTATGGATGCTCATTTTATAATGAGCATTAAATGTACATAAAATCAAAAATAAATTTGTTAATACCGTTGTGGGTTAATTGTCCTCGCTTGGCAGAGAATTGTTATATTTACTTGCCGTTAAATAAATCATTGTGAATTAATAGTAATATTAGGCCAACAGGAATAATTGATTTGTGCTTTAAACTTTGTTTTGAAAGCTGCACTCTCATTGGCTAATTCCTCAGATAAAAACAAATATGACCTGATCTGGGTTAAGTCTATTTAAGGTCACGCCACCAGTTTCCAGTTGGACTGTGGCGTATCGGTTTGGAATGAGTCGTAGCATAACTCACTCATGCCCGGACAGATGAAGTGCTGGAAGGGGCAATTGTGTTTTCATGCTCGATGCACATAAGCAAAACATGATTAGTCGAGAGTTTGAGTCATGATGACTGTACTGTGATTGTTGACTCATATTTCATTTAATTAAATCACTAAGTTGTCCGTCGTTCTGTCTCTATAGTTAAAATGTGTCTGGGTATAAAACAATAATCCAATATTTGATATGTAATATTTGATTGTCTCTATTGCCTGGTTTCACAGACGAGGCTTAAGCCTAGTCCCAGACCAAAATGCATGTTTGAGTTGTCTTAACTAAAAGCAGCTTACACTGACATATCTTAAAAATATGTCAGTGACGTTGTTTTGTCTCAAGATTCTAAGGCTTGTTTATAAAAGTTATTTAAATATCCTAATTTAACTAAGGCCTACTCTTGGCTTAATCTAAGCCCTGTCTGAAACCAGGCTGAAATGTTCTCTACTGGCTCTTCGCTACACGACTGACCCTCATGTTCCTGTTCTCCACAGCTCTTTGGGCGGGGGCGACGGCATGCAGGGGGTCATAATGATGGATCAGACCATCTCCGGACCCGGCAAGCGCATCCGCAAGCCGTCGCTGCTGTATGAAGGGTTTGAAGGACCTGCTCTGCCCCAGGTACCCCAATCCGGACCCCCTCAACCTCCTGTACGGGACCCCAATCGACAGGGCCGCATGACTAACCAACTGCAGTTCCTCCAGAAGGCTTTACAGAAAACCCTGTGGAGGCATCACTTCGCCTGGCCTTTCCATGAGCCAGTGGACGCTTCCAAGCTCAACCTCCCTGTAAGTTTGTTCTTGTTCCAGATTGGACTGTTTGGGGGGGATGTTTCTCAGACCCTACGACGTGTTATTTAGTTCTGATTTTAAATATTTAACAAGTTGGCAAGTAATGAGTCTAAACACAAGCTTTGGCTCATCTCTCACGCAGGATTATTATAACATCATTAAGCAGCCCATGGACATGGGGACCATCAAGAAAAGACTAGAGAACAATTTTTACCGCAGTGCCAATGAGTGCATGCAGGATTTCAACACCATGTTCACCAACTGCTACATCTACAACAAGGTCAGTCAGTTCATTTATGTTTAGTTAAAACCTTCTTTTAGTGCTCAACCTTGTTTTTTCAGAGCTTGAAGTTATTTTGTTGTTCCATCATGTGGCTCAGCTCCCCAGCCTGTTATGGTGCATCAGTAGGGTTGTCTAGAGACTGCCATGTGATCTAAAGGTCTTCTGTTTATTATAGCCAACAGATGACATCGTCCTGATGGCCCAGTCTCTGGAGAAGGCTTTCCTGCAGAAGGTAGCACAGATGCCCCAGGAGGAAGAAGAGATTCCCTCACCTGTCCCGAGGGTCAAACCGGGCAAAATTAAAAAAGGCCAGAGATCAAGTAAGAACAAGCTGAGAAAAATATAGGATGACCCTGAATAAACTGAGCTGACATGATTGTGTGGTTAAATCTTTATATCTACCTGGACATGTGTATGTATGTGTATCATATATATATATATATATATATATATACACATATACATATATATATATATATATATATATACTTATACGTGTGTATTTCTATGTGTGTATTTAAAATATAAAACTATATTATTAATAAAAGTATTCTTTTATAATAATTCTATATTTATAATTTTTAATACTAATAAAAACTATATTTGACGTGTATGTATGTATGTATATATATATATATATATATATAATTAAATAAATGTTATACAATACATTTTACATGTTTATTTCTGTTTCTAGTGATGCTCCGTTCTACAAGATTTATTCAAATAGAAACTGCTTTTTTTTAAATAATCAATAAGGATCATAAAAATTTTACTATAAATGATTTGTTTGAAAATCAATTGGTCCTGGTATTTATTGGCTGTTTGTCTGCCTTGTTGCTTATGCGTTTTTTCCCCATCTCACTTTTAGTTTCCGGTGGATTCACGACAGCTCATCAGGTCCCAGCTATATCTTCTGTATCCCAGTCGTCCTACTCCCCTCCCACTCCAGACACCCCCGACTCGGTCCTGTCCACCCCACCGCAGATGCTTATAACCAAGACTTTGCTTCCGACTTCACACAGCACCCCTGCACTGCTAAGCCTGCCACCTACTCAACCTACTGCAAAGGTAAGAACACCACTTATTTCTAAAACAAACTGTTTTCTACACAGTTTTCAGATGCAGCATAAGCTAGTTGGAATACCAATGTGCTTGTTTGCATATTAGATGCAATTTAGCTAATCTTTCTCTCTCCATCTTTTCAATAGAAAAAGGGCGTCAAGCGCAAGGCAGACACGACCACCCCCACCACCACAGGCATGCCCCTCACTATGGGTATAGGTGGCATGGGTCTCGGCTTGGGCGGCGGTGACTCCCCGCTTACCATCTCTGCTTTTAGTGCAGACCCCAAACAGAGCCTGTCCCTTGGCCTGAACCTGGGTCTTGGCGGAGGCCTGGTTGGAGACAAAGTTCCGGCAAGACGTGGCGGCAGTGGCAGGCCCATCAAGCCACCACGGAAAGACTTGCCCGACTCCCAGAACCAACACCAGCCAGTGCGGCGTGGGAGGCTGACCCAGCAGTTACGCTACTGCAGCACCATTCTCAAGGAGCTGCTGTCGAAGAAGCACACAGCCTACGCCTGGCCCTTCTACAAGCCGGTGGATGTTTCCTTACTGGGACTGCACGACTATCACGATATTATCAAGTGTCCCATGGACCTGAGCACTATAAAGGTGCGCATCGAAGAGTTTTAGATGCGTAACCGTTTAAAAATGCCATCATGTGCACAATCAGATCTTCATGTATTTCTCAATCTTGCAGAGGAAAATGGATCATCGGGAGTACCGGGATGCATTGCAGTTTGCTGCTGACATCAGGCTAATGTTTTCAAATTGTTACAAGTACAATCCCCCAGATCATGATGTGGTGTCCATGGCCCGAAAATTACAGGTACGGACGCTTCACGAGCATGTTTATTTTGCTGAAAAATTATAATTGTAATTATTTATCACGATTGTTCTCATTTCATCAGAGTTTTGGTATTTTCATGAGATCAAGAGATCGTCGAGTCATACTCGGGATATAGTTTCCTGATTTATTATACTTGTCAGATACATTAACACACCCTCTACATTATTAAAACCTTAAGAAACTTTAAAATTCCAAATTATGCTAGTGTGTTTTTCTATTAAAACAACAAAAAACACTTTGTATTGTAGCACAGAGGTTGCATAAGTGCATTTATTCAGCAATCGCAAACATTACAGTTTATTTATTACAGTTCATCACTGAGATGGTTTGCTCGCAGATTTACTTTTGTCGTCTGTCAACCCCAAGAATGAAAGTTAGTGGGAGGCTTGTTACCAATGCAAGATAACAAATGTCAAAATAAAAAAATGTTGTTAAGATAAATAACCAGTCGGCCAATATCGCAGATGATTATGCTTGCTTTTTCAAGCAAAGCTGAAATTGTGAGAACTATTTAAGTACCATTAATCATGCAGCCCAACTTTTTTTTCCTTCTCTTTACACTCAAAGTAAGCATGTTCAAAGTTGGATATTAAAATGGTCATCTCTCTGTTTCAGGATGTCTTCGAGTTCCGCTTCGCCAAGATGCCTGACGAGCCCCTGGATTCCCTCCCACCTGCGTCCCTGGGCGGCGGCCTGGGCGGTCACTCCTCCTCTTCCTCCTCCTCTTCCTCCTCGTCGTCAGAGAGTGACGTGAGCAGTGAGAGTGAGAGCGAGAGCAGCCCGAGCTCTGACAGTGAGGAGGAGAGAGCGCATCGCCTGGCCCAGCTTCAGGAACAGGTGTGTACACAGGTAGCGACTGAACTATTCCAACAAAGTTCGCTAAATCGGCACTGACAGATTTGACGTATTTGTACGTTTACTGAGAGCTGCAGTGGCCGTGGGTATAGACACACAGTGACACTCATTCACTCGCTTGTCTGCAGTTGAGGGCGGTGCACGAGCAGCTGGCCGCGCTGTCCTCTACGCCCATCATCAAGCCCAAGAAGAAGAAAGAAAAGAAAGACAAGAAGAAAAAGAAGAAGCCGGAAAAACACAAGCGGGCCAGGAGCATGATTGAGGATGAGGTAGTCATTCGGCCGGCGAAAACACCAAAACTGTCCAAGACACCAAAGAGCAAGAGCAACAGCAAAGCAGCGACCTCTACTCAGGGCAAGAAGAGCTCCAGTAAGAAGAGCAACAAGAGCAAGTACGTCTCCACTTACTGATTTACACAGTTGCTAATTTATAAATCAGCAACATAAACAAACCTATCTTATTCTTTCTCATGTTTCCCTTAGATCTTCAAAGAAATCTCAAGCCGCATCGTTTAACTCCCTACCCGTGAGCCACGGTGGTCTTACGCCACACTACGACTCTGAGGAAGAGGAGGAAACCAGCCCCATGAGCTACGACGAGAAGCGCCAGCTCAGTCTGGACATCAACAGGCTGCCGGGCGAGAAACTGGGCCGTGTGGTCCACATCATCCAATCACGAGAGCCCTCGCTGCGGGACACCAACCCAGAGGAGATCGAGATCGACTTTGAGACGCTCAAACCGTCCACGCTACGGGAACTAGAGCGCTACGTCATGATGTGTTTACGAAAGAAACCACGGAAACCTTATGGTAAGAGCACATTTCATTTAAATAGGATTTATAGTATAGTTGGTTTGTAAGAAATGATATTAGCTTCCTCTGAAAAATGAATGTGTGCTCTTGAGAAGCTAATGGGAATCTGAAGCTAGACTTTAACCCATAATGCTTTGTGTAGCCCCACCTTGCCTGGTTTTATTCAGCACACTCCACAGGTAGAGTCTTCTGCTCTTTACCCTTCTGTGAACAAACACAAAGCTGTTCTTTCATTCCTTTACTGATGTGGAGTCATCTCCCATGTGACTCTTGTGTCAATATAGGTACACTGTTGAATAATTACTTGGCATGAGGAAAAAAAGAAAGAAAAATACACTACCGTTCAAACATGTTTGAAAATCCCTTATGCTCACCAAGGTTGCATTTATTTGATTAAAAATACGATGAATATGAATATGTTTTAAAATGTAATTTATTCCTGTGATGCAAAGTTGATTTTTCTGCATCATAACTCCAGTCTTCAGTGTCACATGATCCTTCGGATATAATTTTAATATGCCGATTTGCTGCTCTAGTAACATTTATTATTATTATCAATGTTGAAACTATTTGGGCTGCTGAATATTTTTGTGGATACTGTGATTTGTTTCAGAAATTTTGTGGAAATGTTTTTCAGGATCGTTTGAATAGAAAATCCAAAAGAACATTTATTTGAAAAAAATCTTTTGTCTTTGCGGAATAAAAGTATTAATTATACACTACAGATTTTTATTTATTAAGTTAATATTGGCTCTTTTCTAGATGGGAGTATATGCAGGCTTTTTTATATTTTATTTTTTAATTTATATTTTATATAACTTAATGGTAGCACTAGCAAATGATATATGGACAGAAATGGGGGAATGATGCATTTGGCAGATGCTTTTAGTCAAAACGACTGTAGTCAAGCAATACATTTAATCGGTTCATGCACTCCCTTGGAATCAAACCCACTGCAAACATAAATTGACAGTTAGTAGATTTTGTTCACTGGAGTGAACTAACATTTGTGTGAACAAAATCACACAGATGCTGATTCTCTCAAAAAGACTGCCAATTAACCTCTTCCACTCTAAGGCATATTTTGGAATTCCGCCTGAATTTAACACACCCAAGTTTAAATATTCACCCTAGACACATACAGTGTAGGAAATTTAAAAAGCTAGTGTCATTGTACAGAAAACCCTTCAGATTTATTAAATTAGATTGCAAAACTTCATAAATAGCATTGTATGCTTTTAAAATATTACGATAAACATTAAAAAAATAGGACTTTTATTTTATTTTTTTATAGAATCCTGTCTTTGAAAATCTGTGATTCAGGTACTGTTTGCTCTGGGGACCTGCTGATTATATTGTTTGACTATACTAGGTGGCAGTATCCACCAGAAAAAAAGATTTTTTCTCTATGACATTCTGAGCAAGAGTTATTCAAATATAACCGAAGGGAGGTAAAGTATCATTTTTAGTGCATATATGTGTCCTTTGGATTTTTCTAATACTCAAATGCAATTTTTTTTTTTTTTTTTTTTTTTTTACTAATACTACCCCAAAAATCCTACTTTACTTAATTATCGATTGATTTTCTTCATTTTCATTCAGGTTTAATGCAAAATGGTATAAAGGAATGAGACCAAGTAACATTTGTGTTTTGTAAATAAAAGCACAACAAATGTAGGCTATTCTCCTTTCAGGAGACACTAATCACTTAAAAAACTGTCTTGTAGAATTTATGTGGTCTAAAACACACCACTTGTACAAATTGAAACATAAATAAAAATGAGAGACTATAGAAATATGAAAGTAGACCTAGATAACGTTAGCCCTAAGATGCACGCTACACGATGCACCGTCACTTTCTCTTTCAAGCTCTTCTATTGCTTCAACGCAAGAGAACACCTTTTTAGCTGCTTTTCCCTCTCCAGATGCCATTTTTTTATCAAAACGCTCGAGAAATACAAATATATATCCAATAATTTTCTGTCAGTCGTCTTCGTCGCTTGTCATTCACTTGTTACTATCTACTCGCGCGCGAGTCGCGCCTATCATCACGTCGTGATGTACTAAAGCCATGACAAAAGCCGGTCGTGATCCCGCCCACCTACTCCACTGATTCGTTGGCTGATTCAGCATGTGATTGGACTAGATAAATGATTGACATGTGATTGGAAAGCTGACAGCCTCAGCTTTGAACACGTGCCTGATTTGTATTTCATCGTCATGATTAGAGGACGCTTGCACGGTTTGATGATGATGTGTAGATCGCGTGTTTCTCCTGTCGAGCGCGTTTTGTGTTCTGGACATCCGCGACATAAGTGGATTATTTACCAAGAGGAGCTCACAGAAAAGTACAAATGGGCTCATTTGAAAGATAACATCCTAAGGTAAAAGATGATATAGAGTTTGTGGCTGATTTTAGCTTAGAGCACCTGTAATCGAAGTAGAAATGAGACGTTTGTCTTTGTTTATTCACAGAAATCATATTTTACTGCCCGATTCTTGTGGAGATAATGTGAACTATGATGTTAAAACAATAAAACAAACTACATAGTCACATTTCTGAGAATGAGAGCTTTCTTTTGATATGATTTTTCTGTTTTGTGAGATACATAAAAAAATACATATTCATATTTACAAATCTGCATCGCCATTTTGGGGGAGGAGCGATTTTGTGACGATTGTTTTTTAAAGCTTTATATTAATTATTTGTGTTCCATATACACACATATAATTGTATTCTGTGTAAAGATGAGATTTTAAGATTTAAAATGATACTATATATGGGGTTATAGTATCTCCAGAAACATAAAAAAAATTAAGTTTAAATATAATGACGTAGCTCTTTTGCCCGCCCACGGGCGATCAGAGTGGAAGAGGTTAAGTGGTTTAACTGATGCATTTCCATGTATGACTAATAAATAGCCACCTAAATAAAAATAGAAATGTTAGTTTTTTTTAAATGCTATTTCCCTACTCATTTACTTTTATTGTATCTTTGATTGAAAATGTTAGCCTCTTGTCCAGGTAGAGACTCCCTTGTCTGATTATGTCATATAACATGCATCTTTTCTAGATAAAATACTATAAATGACTTAAATTTGACCAAATGTGCGTTGTGTGTTTTCCAGTGGCAGTCAAAGGTGCTGCGGGTAAATCTCGTGAGGAGTTGACTCTGGAGAAGAAGAGAGAGCTGGAGAAAAGACTGCAGGACGTCAGCGGCCAGCTTAACTCCGGCAAGAAACCACAGAAAAACAAAGGTAGGGACTGAGTTTCTCACAGACGATCAATCAGAACCAGGTTAAGACAGATTAAATGAAATGATCTCTCTCTCTTTCTCTTTCAGTGGAGAAGCCCACTGCGGTGGAACCCAATGCCATGGCTTCTCGTCTCAGCGCCAGCAGTTCCAGCTCAGACTCCTCCTCATCGTCATCCTCTTCCTCATCCTCTGACACCAGTGAATCAGACTCAGGCTGAACCAATCAAAAGGAACAGACACGCACTCCATCCCAGAATAGAATAGATCTCCTGCTCTAAATAACAATAACTAGTGGAACAGAGGAATATGAATAAGGAAGAGCAGGCTTTCTCTTTAGATGTATAGAAGCAATGTGAGGTCAAAGAGAATTCTGGGAAATGTTGGACGGAGAAGGAACTGATGGAAAAGCAGACATGGGCATCGTCGTCTAATCTGGACTCATTTCCGTTAGTCCATCCTTCTTTACCTTGTGTATATAAATGTACAAAGATATATAAATATCTATTTTTCTTTTATAAAGAAGAATTTTAAGCAATTCCCTGGTAGGGAAGAAAACAAACATCTGACTTTTTCTTTTGTGAATATTTTGTTGCTTTTTATTTTTTCTCTCCCTCTTGTGTGATCTATTAGTTGTTTGTACTAAAGAAAACAAAAGGCTTGGATTGGAAACTGTCACTTTTGTTTGCATGAGCGAGTGTGTGATGTGTACTCGTGCCATTGAATCCAGTGGTTTTCCCGCCCACCCTTGCACATACATGAATGCGTGGCCGCTTGGTTGTGCATTTGAATGACAAAACAAAGCTCCACCTATTCAAATGGCATCTGTACACCCTGAAGTTAGAACATGGAATCACGTCATCCGTCTCTGTTCGCTGGCTTTAGTGGCGTCTTAAAACTTGAATCTGATCTCACCTCCATCCAGCCTGCTTTATTCCCCATGGTCAAATGAATGGGTTCAAATCTGCATTAAACAAACAGAATCGTGCTCTGAATTCAGCTGGGCTATGAGCATTTGTTTTTCTGGATGCATAAATTATTTTTCCGTTCATGTGGTTTCGGTCACGATTTCTAGGGCAGGACAGAGTCTTGGATGCACTATCAGAATGACACAGCTGCTTAATTAGGTGTTGATATGAATACTGTTTTGTAAATCTTGGTTTTTGAGTTTTAGTCTGGTTTTATTTGTTTTGTTTTAGTGTGTTTATTATTATTTGCCCAGAGAATGAATGCACAATTTATAGTTTTAACATAATGACCCTCATTCAGAAATGTAATGCTTGGAAATGTAGTTTCGGTATCAGCACATGCAGTTACACAACAACAAAACAATTTGAAATGTTTTTTTTTCTTACAAAATTTGTACATATGTAAGTTTCATGACCTCGCAGCTTGCATCTGTCAATATGACCTGATTTCTGTTTCCTGCGCTTTTTTTTCTTTCTTTACTCCTGTCTTCAGCTCTTCTGTTTAGTATTGTGGCTGGTTTTTTCCACAGCTCATTGTTTTTTTTTGTTTTTTTTTTAAGAAAACAAAAGCAAAATATAACGAAATGAAACCTCAAGCTATAAGCATCATCTCAACAGATGCTTCATGCGACCATTATTCTCATCTGATAAATGTCACATTAATAAAGAGGGTGAGATGTTCTTAAAACAAAATCTTGTGCTTGAGTGTGTTTTCTTTAGGACCATACCATTTCATTAGCATTTTTCTATATGAACTTCATTGGAATATGTATTGAATCCAGGGATATTATAATTATTTAAAACCATTTAAAAAATGTTTACACTTTATTTTAAGGTGTCAGTGTTACAGTGTAATTATATATTTAAGTACTGAGTAATATTTATTAACTACATGTAGTTACTATAGGGTTAGGGTAGGGTTTGGTTGAGGGTTAGTTGCATGCAATTATGTATAGGTTACTGTTTTTACTATAGTAACAACATAACAACAAGGGCACTGTAAAATAAAGTGTTACCAAAAAAACTTTTACTGAACAAAATATTTAGAAACTTAAACTCATTTTATTCTGCTCGTTTCCAAGGCAACTTTAAAAACTACGGAGCCCCTAAAGGGACGTGGTGGTGGAAAAAATTTAGGATGGGAGAATTTTTTTTTTTTTTTATCTTTTGCGTTCCCTCGCAAAACTTTTGCGTTCCCTCGAGAAACTTTGCGTTCCCCCGAGAAACTTTGCGTTCCCTCGCAAAGATATTTGCGTTCCCTCGCAAAGATATTTGCGTTCCCACGCAAAACTTTTGCGTTCCCTCGAGAAACTTTGCGTTCCCTCGCAAAAATATTTGCGTTCCCTCGCAAAGATATTTGCGTTCCCACGCAAAAGTTTCGCGTTCCCTCGCAAAGATATTTGCGTTCCCTCGTAAAGATACCTGTTGTGTTCTCTCGCGAGTGAGTGTGTTCTCGCGAGAGACTTCTGCGCGGCGGTTCGCGCTTGTATCACAGCATCACTTGAGTGATCTGGATGTACGCACTTTACAGATGTTATACTTTTATAGAAGAATAAGCCAAACTTCCATGATCACACTCAGCACAAAGCTGTAACAATTAACTGTTGTAGCTCTGCGTCTGCGATGGAGGACGATCTTCAGCAGTTTCTAAGGTCACGAGATGTTCCAGAAGAGGACATCATCCACATGAAAAGGGACAAGGTGAGTAATGTTTAATGGAAGGTCTATGGGCCTATTAGCTTATTTTTAAATGATAGCTATTTTAACGAGGCAACCAAAGGTGTTGACATGTATCCAAGTGTAAACATTTAATATTATCCTTAAAAACCAAAGCCGCATGTAGGCCTATATAGGCTATTTTTGAATTATTACTGCTAGCCAGGAGGCTGTCAGATTATCACCACAGACCAATTCATTTCACCTTCGTTGCTGAATCAAAATTGGTGTAGGCTACCTTAAGGTCACTAGTAATAATAGTATCATATAGGACAGTTGTTTGCACTCCCCTGCAAAAATAAGAGGGATCATTACAATTGCAATGTTTTTTATAGGGCTGTCCTGATAAAGCTATTATGTAACATACTTGCATCTATTCCACCATAACTTAAATGAGACAAATAAGCATGTTAAAAAATGTGCATTCCTCTGGTTATGATGGCTGACTTCCTACATGATCAGTGACTGTATTTTTTGTGAGTTCATGAGGGCAGGAGAGTGCTTTTAGTGACAGTCCTAAAGGTCAATGTAAAAGCTTTAAATTTGATGCAAGCAGCTTCAGGTAGCCAGTGGACGGGTACAAGTAGGGGTGTGACACGTACAACTATTACAGAGCATACAAACAGTCATTGATCATCAACAAGCAACATATCAAAGTCACCAAGATGATGTGAACTTATGAACCCTTTCATTGGTATAATTCAGTTTATATTTTGTTCAAATTAATTAATTATTAGGCATTGTTATTATGTATGTGGAATAGATGTAAACATATGTCATGTAAAATAGCTTTATCAGGGCAGTACTAAATACAATTTTTGTGATCCCTCTTATTTTTTAAATACTAAATATGTTGTAGAGTCTGCAGGGGTGGGTACCAACATATTCACTCAACTGTAATCACCAGTAGCTACAAGTTAGTTAGATTAACTATACCCTGAATGTTAATATTGAGCCCCATTTTAGAACCAGGATGGCATGTAGATAAAGACATGTGACTTGCTGTAAAAAAAAAAAAAAAAAAAATCTAGACTGTGTTAACATATTATGAGTTCCTGAGTGCATTTATGTTTTTTCAAGAACCAATCTATAAAATTAGATCTTCTCTGCACTTTCAGATCGACAAGTCTGTGCTCTCTGTCATGACTGATGAGCAAATGGCAAAGTATATTAATTCATATGGTGACCGACTGGCTGTCCTCTCCTTCTGTCAACAAACAGCGGCCTGTTCGGATAAAGAATCTCTGTTACAGAATTTGAGAAATAAAATTGAAGCAAGGAAACTGGGATCAAAGTCAGCTAAAACTTTGAATGTTAAAGCATGTGTCTTCCCTAAGGAAAAAAATTTATTGGCAAGACACAAAAATGCATCAGCAGAAAAAACCTCCAGAAGAATTGAAATTGGATGGCTTCACTTCTGCCATAATGGATACCAACAAGTGAGGACCGGTAATGGTGGTGGCACTAGACATGTGACGGTTGAAAAAAAGACAACTGTCTTACAAATCATGGAAATGGGAAAGAACCTTTTTTTCCCAAATGGGCAGTCACCAAAAGGTCCAGAAACAGACTTCACTTTTCGTGTTTGTGATTTTAAAAGAAACCAAATTCCCATGGATAGCACTGTTGGACATCTGTATGAACAAACCAAACTGAAAATGTTGAGGTTTTACATTTGCACTAAACAGGAGGTGTGTCTCACAGACATAGAATCTTTATCTGATGGAGAAAAAGAGGAATATAATGAACACTCAACACTTGGATTAGACAGTGATACTGAGAGACCTGCTGCAAAACTGTTATCGCATGGATGTGACAGTGATTCTGAGGATTCAATCACACATTCATTGGATGACGGACTTTTATCTAAAAGAGACACCAAGAGGAAGGTTAGTAAAATCACACATTTTTAAATACAGTGTCAGAATTGTTGTAAATGTGGTTAATTTAGCTGAGTGGCTATTAATATCACTAATTTAGCTGAATTGCTGAGTTAATCATTTAATGTTATTGCATGTTCTTCAGAGAACTAGAGAAATGGAGGATGTTCCACAGAGTGGTTTGACTTTAGAGACCATGGGAGTAGAGACACCCAGCACTTCACACAGCTCCCTTTCATCACCAAATGTTACCAAAAGAACATGCACAATCCAAAGACTCACAAGCACCTCAAGTGACGAGGAGACTGATAAATTGTGGAATCAAAGTGTGCAGCAACCGAAGAGTCCACAGCATTCACATGAGCTCTGTGATGTACAACGAGGCTATGAATTCATTGACTTGACGGATCAGATTCCTCCACTACACAACAACATAATTGAAACCCTTGGAGATGATGATGATAAGGAAGACACAGTTGAGTGGAATGAAGGTGATGAACTTGGACAAACAGATGAAGACCAAGCAATTGTGATGACATGGAATCTGAACGAGAACATCATACTGGTAAATGTGGTCCTAATATACCAAATGTCTCAGTATAGATGTGAAAAAAGGAAATATTCAGACTAACAACATTAAATGGGAGTTATAAAATAACCTTAAAACTACAATGTATATCTCAATTATAATAGAAAATAAATCTAGGGGGCTTTTAAGGTCACAATACATACAATGTCCCCAGCTTTGTGCTTCTCACTCATCACTAGGCAACTGTTACATTATCTACAGTGACACTTTATGTTTTTGTAACAATGTGTCTCACTTTTATGTTTTGCATGTTTATTGATCCTCCAGAATGCAGAGCTGAATGAAGCTGAAACTGAGGCATCACCACTCTCAAGTAATCCTGTGCTGCTGGTAAGAGAGTCCAAATGTTGCATGTCATGTGGAAGCCCTTTACATAATAGATAATCAGTCCCAATATACCTGCACTGTCAATTCAAAATACACAGAATTGCATATTTTTGTAAGATTTTACTTTTGTTTGTTTCGATTTTTTGTGTGTATATTACACAATAAGGAACAAATAATATACAAAGACTCTATAGATCATATACACAAGAACAAACGGTAACACTTTACAATAAGTTTCATTAGTTAACATTAGTTAACTACCTTAGTTAACATGATCTAAGAATTAACAATAATTCTATAGCATTTAATCTTAGTTAAT